AAAACATAATTTAAAAAAATCAAATATAATAAAAAAAAACAATGTAAGAAACACTATAGCAATTCATAGTGTTTAAAAGAAAAAAATTATAAAGTTAAATTTTCAACTAACTCAATATTAAAAAAGTAAAATAGATAGATAATTTTATAAAAAAATATAAAAAAATATGAAGAAAACACTATAATAATCCATAATAATTTGTAAGGAAAGCTATAATATTTTTCCTACATATTATAATTGTAATTCTCAACCAACTTAAAATTAAAAAATAAAATCTTCAAAGATAATTTAAAAAAAAATCATAAAAAAACCATGTGAAAAAATATTGTAGAAATCCACAATGTTTTAAAGAAAAAAATTACAAAGCTAAATTATCAATCAGCTCAATATTAAAAAAAAAAATCAATAAATATAATTTAAAAAAAATCATAAAAAAAATGTGAAAAAATACAACAAAAATCCAAATGTTTTATGAAAAAAACGACGACTATAATTCTCAACCAACTCAATATTAAAAAAAAATCAACAAATAATTTTTTAAAAAATCATAATAAAAAAAAAACTATATGAAGAAACACTACAGTAATTAACAATATTTTAAAAAAAAATTATAAAGCTAAATTTTTAATCAGCTCAATATTTAAAAAATAAAATCAACAAAAATAATTTAAAAAAAATATAAAAAATTAAAAAAAAAATGCCATAACATTTCCAAATAACATTTTAAAAAATTACAATTCTTTCCTCTATTATTTTAGCTATATTGTAATTTTGTTGGGCCACGAGACACCATTTAATGAAAACATAGACCGACTTCTGTTTTTAAATTTTTTTAAAAAAGTTTACTAAAAAATAATTTTTTTATATTTTCAATTATTTTAATGTACTTATCTTAAAAATAATTTTTAAAAAATAAAAAAATTTATTATTGTAATATATTTTAATATAAAAAACATTATAAAATACAATCAACCATACTCTATCCTAAACAAATACTTAATAAAGCTGCATCGAGTACCATTGACGGACGAACAATATCATTTAACCTTGTACCACCACGTGCTTACCTTCAGAAGTTAGCGTGTATAACTAGAATTCAAGGATACAGATGGGAGACAAAATCCAAGTAATTGATTAATCTACAGGTATCTTAGATTCTCGGTGCCACCGTAACCTCCACATATAGGTGTTCTACAATGATGATATGAACATATTCAGTGACTCAGGCATGCCGACTGCCTCCAAGAACATCCAATTCTCGCATCCTAGCCAAGTGCTTATTCCCATTAAGGTGACAGTGGATGTCTCCCTCACTGGTGCAATTTACATTACAAATGGTGCACTGCCACTTGGAAATGCTAACATCCAAGTGCTTATTCCCTTTAAGATGACAGGCCATGTCTCTCTCACTGGTGCAACTTACATTGCAGATTGTACACCGCCACTTAGAATTTCTTATCTCAACAAATAGGCTCTTCATCGGGTTCCCTTGCTTGCCTTGCTTCTTTGCTTCATGTATTATATTTTCAGCTGAAGTATTATTGCTGATTGTACACTTCTCTGGCTTGTTTTCAGAAAAATTAGTTTTCTTTCCCACTGAAGCAGAAGAAGCATTGCTATGTGATGCCTGGTTCTTGGAGTTCAGCAGCGCACGAGCTTGCTCGTGTTGTTTTCCTTGAAGATGTGAGTTAATGTCTGTCTGACTTTTAAGCGTTACCTGGCATATAAGACAAGTCCAAACTTTTTGGGCATTCTGAGGAGATAATATGCCAGTATGATCTCTAACACCAATCTTTGCAGTTGCCGTGGTAACATTTGATTTCTGTCCCACTGAAGCAGAGGAAACCTCACCTTTTGGTGCTTGATTCTTGACTTTTAACTGTTCACGAGCTGCCTTGTGTCGTTTCCCTTGCAGATGTGAATTAAGAACCGTCTCGCTTTGGGCTGTTACTTGACATAAAGCACAGGTCCATACCTTCTGGACTTTCTCAGGAGGTAGTACCTCGTAAGGATCTCTGCCTCCTATTGGTGCTGCTGCTGTATTTATGTTCTCCAGGGGCTGAAATGTTCTGTTTACTGTTTGACCAATGTTAGGTTCTATTTGTCTAACCTGCAAAGGCAGTTAATATAAATGCACATGGTAACGAGGGCATTGTGATAAGAAACCAATAAAGAAAGGTAAAATTTCACAATCATAGAGGGGAAGGGAACGGAAGGAAATTTGTGATCCACAGAACAGAAATTTTGAAAATTTTATAAAATAACACAGATTCTGGAAGTTTTAGATTGTTTGGGTGGAAGTAACAGTATTTTATAATTCTGGGTCCAGACAAGCTCTTCGTTCTTTCCCACATATTTTTGGATGTTCAAATTTGTAATTAGGCACCAACATTTCACAGTTCATACTACTATCTCCAACTTTTGAATAAATTGGTTACCTGGTTGGTTGATGAGACTTCTTTTTTCCCTGTTATTTCCACAGCATTACTGTCTCTGGGTAGAACTGGAAGTTTAGGTTGTTCAAACTTTAACTGCATGGATCAAAAGATATTCCAATTTCGCATTAGGCAGTAACATTTCACAGTTCATAATACTATTTCCAAGATCACAGGTAGACTTTTTCTTTAAACCCTGAAAATTTCAACTGTTATTTAAATAACCTGCGTGGTTGATGGAACTTCTTTTTCCTCTGTTATTTCCACTGCATTGCTATTGTTTAATCGAACCAGAAGTTTAGGTTGTTCCAACTTTAGCTGCATTAATCAAAGATAATCAAATTTCTCATTTGGCAGTAAAAATTTTGCAGTTCAAAATCGCGGGTATAATAATTCCAACTGTTGAATTAAATTACCTGCTTGGTTGATGCAACTTCTATATTCTCTGTTATTTTGGCAGCACTAATGTCTTTGAGTGGAACTTGAAGATTTGGTGGCTCGAACTTCAGCTGCATGAATCAAAAGCTTGATAAAGTTTTTTTTTTTTTTTTCCTCTCTTTTCATTTCATATGGTTGAAATCAGTTAATTTGATTGCCAAAAAATAAAAACCTGTACATCGACAACGTAACAACACAACCACTCTTCTACAATAATATAGAATTTTAACAACCACTCTTCTACAATAATATAGAATTAGTTCATAAGTTGGACTTCTTTTCACAAATCCATAAATCAATCAAATGAATACAAGGAAATATGAGTGATGCATGCGGTTGCTGCAATGATCGAGCTCCCATTATCAAGACATTTCCTACTACCATTGGTCAGTGTGTTTTTACATTCATTTGACTTGAAGAAGTAATATAAAGATCCATAAACAATATGCAAGTGAAATTAGTGGCCTTACCCTATCCTCTGCTGCAACTGCCTTGATCTCATTGACAGCAACATTAGGCTTTGCACTCCTTTTCTGGAAGAAAGAGGCAGGTGTTTGGGAGGGCAGTGAAGATGCGAAGACATACTTTTTATACCAAAACTATATAGATAGCATCTATCAACCTAATTTTATTATAACCCTGATTCAATCCAACCATAGCATGCATATGGTTTTATGCACATTATAAGAACATCAAAATTAAATCAATCCAATTAATTTCATGTATATATCAAAAGATTTTCATAGGTATTGTTTCCATGAAGAAGTATATGTACCGTGGAAGCAATGAGATTCTCCAAGGCATCAATTCCATTTTCCTTCATATATCTCTCCACCTCAACAAGAAAATCATCTTTCTTGAAAAACAACTCCTCCAGCCTTTTGAACTGGCAGATGATGACTCTTAGGTCCATGGATAGACATGGATGAACAAGGTGTTGATAGACACAAAGGGAACCATCAAAGTCAGGCAGAACCAAGCAGCCGACAATCATTAGCTTAATGTATGGCCAGAAGGTTAGCCTGACATATATATATAGAGAGAGAGAGGAAAATAGAAAAAGGTTAGCCTGACATATAGATATATATAGAGAGAGAGAGGAAAATAGAGATTGAGGTAAGAGAAATCAACAGTAAGGTACTACCTGTTGTCCTAAGTAAATAGCACACAACAAAATTCCCCATTTCAACAATTTGCACCAAAGTCTAAAATCATCTTGAACATATAAACTTCCAACAATTGTGCGTGCTCAGAGTAATTACAAAACATAAGGAAAAATTCCCGTAGATAAGAAGCTACAGAAATTGTTTTGACTCCCAAGAGATTATGTTTTCTTTCGTTTCAATTGAGTACGAAAACAGAGCAATATGATGTAAAAGGCAGAAAATATAGTAAATTACCAATCAAGATGAAAAGCACGTTCAAAGAGCAAAACCACAGAAATGGAGACCCAATAAGCGATCAGTTTCTGGGTGTCTGAGTTTGAATTAGTCTCGATCGCTTGAATGGAAGCACATCTGTTGACATTCAGAAACAAGAACGGATGATTAGTGATGACTCATAACTTCTTGGGTAAATAAATACCGATTTTACAATCTGAATAACATAGCTGAATCATCATTAGAAATCGCGAGTCACTAACAGGAAACAAAGTCAAACAAAGAGAGCGAGACTTACAAAGGATAACCCAAACCAAATACAGGCCTGCGACCATAGAACAGAAACAACTGATCATCAAAATCTTGAAAACACAAGACAAAGCAAAGCAAAGCAAAACAAAACAAGACTTTCTTAACTAATCATTGGGACAAAATAGCAATACTTTCTTAACTAATCATTGGGACAAAATAAAATGCTTAAAATCAAGCATTGCTCATGATTAATTAGAAAATATGAAACTGAGACTTCTATTAGTTAAAAGAAACAAAGAGATCTAAGAACTTAGAATCAAACTTCAAAACCACATTACAGGTGGAGATTTTCAGTACTATTGAACGTACAACAAGGCGATTATGAGCAGAGACACACTTATTTTCATACCAGGCAACAATGTCAAGGCATTTCACCACAAATTTTATAATACCCACAAAACCCATCATGAACTCAGAACTCTTTGAGAATATTTTCTCAGCTTAATTAATCTCTACTAAAGTTTTGTTTGTTCAGATTTTTACTGATAAAGAACCATTGTGGAAGCAAGCCATGACGAAATGGAGTGGAAAGCGGAAAGAAGTCGCTTTTTCTAGCACTATAGCTATTTGATTCACGAAATGACAAGTATGTCCTTACTTTGTATGTTATTCTTTACTCGCTTGAGTGCGCAGGAGCTTTATACTTGCTTCTTTTTTCCAAAAAACTGAAACGTGTCCTCTGATCAAATTTTCTCATAGACTTGGCGAGTGTCGCTAGATGATTACTCGCAGCAGGACCCAAAGTATGGGCATGACATGTTGCTCAAGTGCAAACGTGTACGTGTACATTCTTACGTACGGAAGACATGTCTGAATTCTACCTAGATTCAGGAGTCCATAGCGCTCTCTTTGTAAAAGAAAGAAATGAGACTCGATTCGATTGAATTTTGCCGTTAGTGCAATTTTGTGTTTAAATAATATTCTCAAAAAAAAAAAAAAATCTTGTTTTTAAATACTTCTAAAACAAAAGTCATTAACATCTGTTTCGGTGTTTTTTTTTTCAGAAAAAAATTGTCAATGAGATTCGATTGTTTTTTAGTATAAGTTTTCATAATTATTAAACTTAAACTTAGGGTGGAATCAATTAAATTAAATTAAATTATTTTAAAAAAAAATAAAATTGACTAAGTAAATATAAAACAAAACAAAAGGTGTAAACTCCAAGCTAATTATTATTTTGAATTTGAAAAATATCATGAAGGATAAATTTTCATATGCTTGAATCTATATTCTTGGCTGCACTTTTTGTCCAAATTATATGTTTTTATTTTTATTTTCTAAAGTGAGATCAGAGGATAAAGGGTTTTTAGGATTGGGTTAGAATGAAAAGTTTTATACTTAATACAATGTTTATAATGAAATGAAAATTGTGTTTTACATGGCCCGTAAGAATAAGAGAATTGCTCTGTTTTATATATTAATTTTGCATTATTACAGTAATATATATTACATAAGGAAGGAAACACGATTCTATATTTCAGCTAATAAATGCTGAATATTTGCTAATGATTCTAAAGATCAAGTTGAAATATATATGCTAATAACAATACAATAATCTATAGATGGAATGTAAATATATGCTGCTAATACTCTCCCTGAAGTTGGAGCATGGAGATCCATAATGCCCAACTTGCATGATAATGCTTGGAAAGCTTCACGGTCTAAGGCTTTTGTGAAGATATCTGCTAGTTGACCGTGACTAGGAATGTGCTTAGTGGAAATAAGACTAACTTTGAGCTTTTCACGAACAACATGACAATCAATTTCTATGTGTTTGGTACATTTATGGAAAACAAAGTTCTAAGTGATGTGAAGAGCAGCTTGGTTATCACAATGTAAAAGCATAGGCTAAAAATGGTGGACACTAAGATTATGTAAAAGGGTTTTGAGCCATGTAAGTTCACAAGTAGTGGAAGCAAGGGCTCGATATTTAGCTTCAGCAGACGAACGAGAGACTGTATCCTGCTTCTTAGTGCGCCAGGAAATAGGATTAGTGCCAAGCTGAATGAAAAAACTGGTGGTGGAGCGACGAGTGAGCGGGCAATTAGCCCAATCTGAATCTGAATAAGCTGAGACTTGAAGAGTGTTAATAGAAGGAAAATATAAACCTTGGTCTGGAGAAGCCTTAATGTAACGAAGAACATTGACAACAACATTATAATATGATAGTCGGGGTTGGTGCATGAACTGGCTCAAAAGGTTAACAGAGAACACAATATCAAGATGAGAGATTGTGAGATATATCAAATGGCCAACAAGGCAGTAGAAAGAGCTGGGATCATGGAGTAGATCACCATCAGTATTATTGAGCTTGAGATGTTGTTCTATTGGGAAGGAAGAAAGACGAGCACCAAGGTGACTGCTATCAGCAAGTATGTTAAGGGCATATTTGCATTGATTAAGGAAAATGCCAGTAGGAGAGCGAGCAATTTTGAGGCCAAGGAAATATTTGAGTTGGCTGAGGTCCTTAAGCTTAAAGCGTTGAGCAAGCATGGCTTTGAAATTATTGATGTCAGTTAGATCATTTCCTGCCAAGAGGATGTCATCAACATAAATAAGTATGAGAGTGAAGGATTGTCCCCAATGGCGAGTGAAGAGAGAGTGATCTATCTATGACTAGGCAAAATTTACAGTAAGTAAAACAAAGGATAATTTAAAGAAGCAATTGCAAGAGGCTTGCTTAAGGCGATAAAGTGATTTTTGAAGATGAGAGACTCGAGTATCCGTCTATTTGGAATAGCCTGGTGGAGGAGTCATAAAAAAAAAAATCCTTATTAAGGTCATCATGGAGGAAGGCATTGTGGATGTTCAACTGAAAGAGGTGCCAATGGCGAGCTACAACCATTGCAAGAACACATTTAACAGTAATAAGTATAGCAACAAGAGCAAAAGTGTTATGATAATCCAAACCTTTTACCTGAGTATATCTCTTGGCCACTAAGCGAGCCTTGTGTCTCTCTATGGATCCATCAGCCCAAAATTTTATTTTAAACACCCACTTACAACCAATTAGTGTTTTACTAGATGGAAAGGGCTGAAGGGTCTAAGTATGATTTACTTCTAAAGCTTGTGTTTCAGCTACCATGGCATCATGCCAATGAGGGTGACAAGCAACTTCAGAATAGGAGGTGGGATCAGGATGATGAAAGAGTATAGAAAGAAAGGCTGGATGTTTATTAGTGAAATGTTTATAAGATAAAAAGGATGAGAGACAGTGAACCATACCTAAGAAAGAGCGTGAAACCTGTGAAACCGTGAAGAACCTTAGTAAAGAAGGGCAGATATAGTCATCTAAGTAAGTGGGACGGGTGACAGTTCATTTTGGTTGTGTAGGAGGGAATGGAATGGATGATGTGGATAAGGGTTCGTGTAAGGAGGGAAGGGAAGGAGATGTAGTAGGTTGTGCAAAAACAGTGTAGGAGGGAAGTTTAGGGATGGGAAGAGAAAGAACCGGGGAAGATGGTGAATCTGGGGCCATGAGTTGATAAGGGAAAATATTTTCTTTAAATGTAACATCATGAGAAATGAAAATTTTTTTGTGTTCAAGATCGTAGACACGATAAGCCTTATGATGGATAGGGTAGCCTAAGAAAACATATCATAGAGCATAAAGAGAGAATTTATCACGATTTTGGCGAGTGGTTTGGGCATAGTATAAACACCCAAACACTTGTAAATGTGTGTATGATGGTTGTTTTTGAAAAAGAAGTTCATAAGGTGACTTATGATTAAGGAGGGGTCAAGGAGTGCGGTTAATCAAGTAAGTGGCTGTAAGAATGCATTCACCCCAAAGAGAAATGGGAAGATTGGCTTGAAAACATAAACAGCGGGCCACATTAAGAAGGTGGCGATGTTTATGCTCAACAACGCCATTTTGTTGAGGTGCATCCACATATGTGCCTTCGTGAAGAATGCCATGATCATGAAAAAAAGTTTGGAGTTTATTAGATAAAAACTTTTGTCCATTATTGATGCGCATATGTTTAATAGTGCAATTAAATTAATTTTTAACCATTGCATAAAAATTATAAGGCAAGTAAAAGTTTTTAATTTCATATGCATGAGATAAACCCATATAGTACATGAGTAATCATCTATAATGATTAAAAAATAATGGGCACTTGAATATGAAGCTGTAGGATAAGCACCGTATATATCATAATTAATCCGATTAAAATAAAATATTCTCTTATTTGAACTCAAAAGAAAAGATAAACGAGTGTGTTTTCCTCTAGTACAAACATCACAAGGCAAATGTGATTTTGAAATATTTAAGGTTTTTGGAATAGTTGAAGTAGAAGGGTGACCAAGTCGTTGATGCCAAAGAATAGAGTCAGAAATGCGTTGAGAATAGAAAATAGAGGCAGAGAAAGGTTTGTAGTGGTAAAGTCCATCTCGTACTTCACCCATTCCAATTAACTTCCTTGTTGACAGGTCCTGAAAAACACAATAGTTAGGAAAAAAAATAGCAACATAGTTGAGAGTACTGACATGACCAAAAGATTGTTGTCTTCTCCCAAGTATAGGAGTGTTGAAGTAATAAATAACCTGGCAAAACCGGGGTCGAACCACAGGGAGGTTAATTGTACAAATTATAAACAACAACAATAGTAGCAATAACAACAACAATAATATTAGTAGTAGTAGTAGTAGTAATAGTAATA